CCCCCCCCTCAAAAAAAATCGCTGGTCTCAAGTACCTTCACGATTTCGATTCGGCCCATTATTTTCATCTTCTTGCTTTTTCGCGTTCAGCCAGATTAGCAATTATGGCAAATACAAAACTGAATTTTGCGCACACGCATTTCTAATGTATGCAAATTGCAAGGAATATTTTACCGAAAAGCTAAAAAATGAGAAGCAGAGAGAGACATGCATTAATCATCATCATCATCCATGCTCAGTGCAAAACACTGTACTGAATTAATAAGTACGAGGAAAAAAAAAAATAAAGGATTTTGCTGCAGCTGACCCTTTCCCTTTTTTCGCCGTCGCTGCTTCTGGGTACAAAAAAAAGCAAAGCTCTGATGTGTAATATAGGTATTACGACAACGTGCCAATCCCACTGCAGTTATTTTTTATTGTTAGTTCAGACGCCGTTTCAAAAATGAAGTTTAGTTTGGACGAAGCGAAATGCTGCTTGTAAGAGATGCAACACCAATGCCCAAATTATTATTAGCAATAGTGTCAAACAAATAATAATAACAATAATAAAAGCCCGCAATAATAACCGATGCTGCCTTAAAAATGCATCAAAAAGCCCAAAAAAAAAAGCCAAAAAAGAAAGCGTAAGTGATGATGAATCGGGGGAGAAAAAGAAAACCAAACGTAAGAAAAAAATATTAAGCATAAGTCGGAGATGGATGAGTTTGCCTTACATTCACCTCATTCCCTCACTTCCTCACTCACTCACACACAGTGATTTTTGTTGTGACGCACGGAAAAGACAATTTTGTTGTGATGCATTCGCGAATCTCGCTTTAAAAATTCAAGATTTTTCCTTTTTTTTAAAAAAAAAAACTCTGGCGCACATATACAAGCAAATTTCGAAGCTAAGCGCATTCTGAACTCAGTGAACAATTTCGTCGCCAATGCACAGCTTTCTCACCGGTTTAAAGAAAAAATGCTTTAATTGGCTGAGAAGACAGTTGTTGTTGTAATCGGTGTATTAGTTCAAGTGAAAAGACAAAAAAAAATTGAAAAACAGGAACTTACTCGACTCCAAAATGCGTGCTTTCGTTATCCAGAGAGAATGCGTTTAGCCTATACAGATTCGATCAAGAACAAAGGCCACTACTACTTTTACTGTATAATTTTTACACTCCTCACTTAACATTTTTGATTGAGAAACTGAACTACACACTTTGACTATTTTTAAAGCCTGCAAAACATATTTCGCCTAATTCAGCACTAGGCTACTACTAACGCTACTACTAGTGCTAAACGAGAGATTCATCGTACCTTTCGAACTCTTCGTTTCTCATCTTCGCTCCGCTCTCGTTCTCGGTCCTTAAACAATCCCAGTAACCGACTTCCCGCTATGTGTAAGTATGTAAGCAAATAAGACACGAACAAAATGATAAATACATATGTAATTTCAACCCACCTTGCCCCTTTCCGAAGCTGGCGTTCGGCCTTTCTCCGCCAGCTCGCCTTCTGAAATACACACACACATATCTGTGAGGTAAGCCAACAGAACAACACATCACTGCCAGCTCTACG